ACTCAGCTATAAAAAAGAATGAAATACTGCCATTTACAATGACATGGATGGACCTAGAGAGAATTATATTAAGTGAAACAAGTCAGGCACAGAAAGAGAAATACCACATGTTCTCACTTATTGGTGGGAGCTAAAAATAAATAAATAAATTCTCACACACACACACACACACACACACACACAAAAGAACTGGGGAGTGGGGGAGAAGAAGACACAACAATTACAATTCCTTGAAGTTGACATGACAAGCAACCAGAAAGGACATTGTTGGGTGGGAAGGGGGAGAGGGAGGAGGGAGGGAGGTTTCGGTAATGGGCCACAATAATCAACCACATTGTCTATCAACAAAATAAAATTTAAAAAATAATAATAATAATAAGGAATTTGTATGCAGAATACATAAAGATCTCTCAAAACTTAATAATAAGAAAACAATCTAATCAAAGTGTGGGAATGAATTTGGAATAGACACTTTAAAAAGAGGACATATAGATGGCAAATAAGCACACAGAGATATAACCATTGTCATTAAACATTACAGCAATGAATGTTAAAATTTCAATGTGATACCACACCTATTATGCTAGCTCTCAAATAAATAAAAATAAATAAAATGAATAATGTCAAGCACTGCCAGAGATGTGGAATAAATTGAACACTCACACACTACTGGTGCTAATACAAAATACACAATTACTTTGGAAAACAGTTTGATAGTTTCTTAATAAGCTAAGTTTAATAGTATCATATAGCTCAGTAATACCACTCCTAGGTATTTACCCAAGTGCAAGAAACACTTATGTTCACAGAAAACCTCTATGATAATATTCATAGAAGTTTTATTTGTAATTATCAAAAACCGTGAACAACCAAAATTTTCTTCAAATGTAAATAGACAAAAACAAAACAAAACTGTGGTACATTCATACAAATGGAATACTACTCGGCAATAAAAAGGCACAAACTACTAATAAACACAGCAAAATGGAGGAATCTCTAATGTGTTATGTTAAATTAAAGAAGCCAGTTTCAAAAGACTAAATATAGTATAATTCAATTTTCATGACATTCTCAAAAAGGCTAAACCATAAGGAAAAATATAAATCAATGGATGCTAGAGACTGAGGATGGTGGGAGGGGTGATAGGCTTGACCACTATATAAATTATCAATTGCTTTGTAACAAATTAGCAGCTTAAAACAGGAAACATTTATTATCTCATAGTTTCTGTGTGCCAGAAATTGGGGCATGGTGTAGATGAATGCCTCTGGCTCAAAGTCTTTCATGAAGTTGCAGTTAAGAAGTTCAGCTATTTGCTGCAGTGTCATCTGAGAGCTCGGCTGGGGGAGGATCTGCTTCCAAGCTTGTTACATGATCGTTGGCAGGATTCATTTCCTCATTAGGTTTGTATTGAGGGTCTCGGTGCCTTGCTGGCTTGTAAGCCAGAGGCCTCTCCCAGTTCCCTAGCATGTGTACCTTTCCAAAGTCCAGCTTACAGTATGGAGGCTGGCTTTCCTCAGACAGAGAATGTGAGAGTAAGAGAGAGAGCACTCAAGGCATAAGCTACTGTCTCTTCATAACCTAATATCAGAAGTGACGTCCCATCACCTTTGCCAAAATTCTGTTCACTAGAAGCGAGTAACTACATCCAGCTCTGTCAAAAAGACAGTGTTATAAAAGGCATAAATACCAGTGGACAGGAATTATCAGGGACTATCTTTGAGCCAGCCCTTTCAACCCCTGTGATTCATATTTCTCCCACCTTCCGAAGACATTCACCTCCTCCAAGGTCCCCCAAATTTCTTCCCATTGCATTATCAGTTCAAAGTCCAGAATCTCACTATCTGAATTCGGGAACCATCTTAGAATCTGTTTACCACAACCACAAAAGGGGTTTGTGTGAACTTTTTGGGGTGATGACACTGTTCTTTACATTGATTGTGGTAGTAATTACACAGCTGTATTTGTTTGTTAAAAACTCATAGAACTGAACACTGAAAAGGATAGATTTGACTGTATCAAAGTTTGTATACTCATAAAAAATTGAAAAAAAGTTAACAAATTCAAAAACACAACACACATAAAAACATATTACATTAAATTAAAAGAGTAGAATTACTGACCAAAGTAGTAATAAAATATATTCATACAAATGTACATTTTGGCACTGGAAAGCAGCATAATTGTAATTATGTCATTGAAGAGCTAATAATTACATGCATATGCACATGTAATCTATTGCTTATAAAGAAGAAAAAATACTATTGATCAGAATCTATAATTATATTAAGTCTTTCATAGAAAGGAACTTATTCAGAATATCTTTTTTTTCTTCCTTAATATTTTTTTTCCTTTTTTAGAACATACAATTCATCAATTCAAGTATTAGGGAAACTGAACATAAATGCACTGTTAACGTTTTCTCATTTCATTCACAAATGAACTATTGGAACCATTTTCTGTAAAATGAATATTTATAGCTACTTTTCAAAATAATTTACTTCCAATAAACTGAATGTATACTGTGAAAAAAATTCCATATTCCTTCTTGTTTTTTCTAATTCTGAAAAGTGACAGAAGTAAGGCAGTTGGATCCTGTTACTGTACCCTGTTTATACAGCTGTACTTCATTGAATGAAGGCTTGTATTACACAGTTTGTGATAGGAAGTAAATGCTTTTAAAACAACTAAAGAGACAGATCTTTAAGCTCCACCTTTGTGAAATCTTTATTCCACAATTTAGCTTCTATAAATATTGTAAGGAAGTAGCTCCAATATATATTATTACTCTCTAATTAAACCTCATCTGATTAGCTGATACCCTTATGAACTCATTTTATGGGTGTATTAGGATGAATTTTTTAAGGCAAATCCTGAAAGGTCCAAAAAGTAGACAATGTATCTATCGTCTATTGCCTAATGAAGATTTGTAAGTAATAGGTTCTGAAATGTTCAATGATGGGCATGTTCTAACGACAAAATGGTGTTTAGATTACTTCAAGGGTTCAGTATGCATGGAATTTTAAATATTTAGGAGGTTCATCAAATTTGTTACCTCGATCAGATATCACACAACATCTGAAGATATAAAGTGCCACAAAAATCTTTGTATTATCTCTTATGTGTAACTATAGAGGCTAATAAATAAACCAGGGATTTGGGTTCTAGAGGTTATTTCAAGGATTATGCCTGAGCAGTTTTAGAGGTCATTATGGTGAAGTATAGTCATGCACCACCCAAGAATGTTTCGGTTAACTACAGACTGCATATACAATACTGGTCCCATAACATTGTAATGGGGCTGAAAATCTCCTGTTACCTAGTGATGTGTAGCCGTCCTAATGTCCTAGGGCAGTTACTTAATTTTTTTATAAATTTAGTGTAGCTTAAGTGTAGTACAGTGTTTATAAAGTCTGCAGTAGTGCAAAGGAATGCCCTAGACCTTCACTTTCACTCACCACTCACTAACTCGCCCAAAGAAACTTCCAGTCCTACAAGTTCCATTCATGGTAAGTGCTCTGTAAAGGTGTACCCATTTTTAATCTTGTTTTCTGTACCTTTTCTATGTTTAAATGTGTTTAGATCCACAAATACTTCCCATTGTGCCACAATTGCCTGCAGTATTTAGTACAGTAATTTACTGTACAGGTTTGTAGCCTTGAAGCAATAGGTATGCAGTAGGCTATACTATCTAGGTTTGTAGAAGTACACTCTGTGATGTTTGCACAAGGACAAAATTGCTTAATGACACATTTCTCAGAACATACCCTGCCATTAAGCAACGCATGACTATATACATATGTTGTCATGATTTTCATAAAACTCTGATGAAATATTCTGCCATGTACCATGCATTTCGACTATTAGTATATAGCAACTGCAACCACCAGTAACTTGATTTTTCCACTCTTAGATCTGTTCAGTTCCCATCAATCCAAGCCTAAAAAAATTTATTTCTAAGTTATACTGAAAAGGACACCATGATCATATCACATGTTTAATTTCACCTCCTGGCTTTGTAACAAAAAACTAAATATAAGTTAGTTTAGCTAAGAACATATTTTTTAACTAAATAGAATAAACTGTGGTATTTTGATCTGTAATTCTATTAGAAAATTTAAAAAATGCATAGAATAAAACAGTTTGGGCAGAATAAAAAATGACTTGTACTTTTCTGTTCCGTCTATTTAGGGGGTCATTATAGTGTCAAGTTTGTTGTAGAAAAAACAAGCCACTCTCCTTTTGGTGTGTATGAATTGCAACACAGTATGAGGTCATCTGATCAACACTTGATGAAAATAAACAACATTCGTTGCCTTCTTTGTTATGCAGACAAACAGCAATTATGTAAAAAAAAAAATTAGAAATGGTACTGTATTTCATAAGCTCTGAGAAGAACCATAACTACTAGCTAACATATTTCTGTAAATAAAAATGGAACCTTAAACTTTAGGACCAAGTATTACTATGCTTTGCTTCTTATTCCAACAGACAGATTTTGAAACTTCTCAAAAAGCCCTCAGGAAATGATATTATGTAATATTTTATTCCAAAATTTATGTGCCAATTTCTCCCATCAGAAAATTCTTCTTTAATTAGGAATATATTATCACATACTGAAAAATCATCACTATCCATTGACAGTATTGTTACAACATTACCAGTTAGCTTTTATGATGTGTCAAATTGTAATATGTTAGCAAAGTGTAAATTGTGGAAGTTATTTCAGTTAGCTGGAGGCATTAAGTTCTATCATATACACTATACATATTTATTGGGCATATTGAGCATGTTTCAATTTTTTATTTATTTATAATTTATGTACTCCATGGTTCCAAAAATGATTTGAGGCACCTTATTTTAATTATAGTTATATTGGCTAGCTTTTCAGACATGTTCCAGATTTTTCTTCCTCACTCAACAGAGCATTATGCATAACTGAAAATGGAAGTTGCTTTGTTCTTATTCTCGTGGCTCATTTCAAATTATGTGTTTTGCAGAGGTTAATATTATGTGGGCTGGCCACCAAACACACCATAGTTCTGAAGACTATAACTTATCCACAGCACTGAGACAATCTGTCTTCCAGATATATACTTCTTGGGTAAGTTGTATGTAATTGAATAAACGCATACTATAATTTGTTTTTGAAGTCTCAACTGTTTCTATTTCTTCAGAGTAAAATAATAGAAGGTATTTTGCTGAAATGCTTCTTTCTCCTCTGTATGTCCAGACACACATGAGGCAAATGGTGTTTTCCATTTGTCATAGTCTTTTATTTGACCCCCAAACTCACCTTGAGGTATATAGCATGTGCGAAAGTGACTGGCTATTTTTCCTTTACTATCACCTAAGAGGGTAATGGATAGACATATATCTCAATTCAAATGTATGCAAAGATTTTATTAGAAACATTTAAAAGTAGTTTTAAAAAGTCAATTCCCATTTCTGTGTGTCCAGGTACAATCTACTTGAATCCTTTGCTTTTTGTTACCATTTTAAATCAATTAGTATTGTGCTCAAAAACATGTTTGTCTCTAAAATGCCTCACACAAGGAAATGGCAGGAATAATGAATACCAGAAATAATATCTAGTTCTACCGTTCTTCTGACTCATTGGACAACCCCAATCTACTTGGTAATATCCCTTTTCTGTGATGGCTCTTGCTCTGCTCTTCCTGGCTATCAAAATACATGATACTTGAATGCATTTGAACAATAACTTAGAAAGTCAGAGTTATTGCTTTGTAAAATTAATGTTGATTTACACTCACTGTTGATGGGTAAAATCAATAAGCTATTTACTATCTTTAAATTGTAATGATGAAACATTTGTATGATTCTATATAGTTTGCAAAATACTTTTATTAAATACTATTTATTGAGTACTTTCTATGTGCCAATCTTCTAAGGGCTCTTTATCCATTGCCTCATCTGATCTGTACAATAACCTTAATATGCAGGTGCTATTATGATTTTCATCATGAAACTGAGTCTGTAGTTCAGACACTGAAAGGGAGGAGTAGAACTTGAATTCATGCAGCCTGTCTCCAGGGCCTTTGATCTTAACCTCTATATTCCAAATCCTCTTCTATGTGCCTCTATATTGGTTTTCATTTGTGTTATTTCCCGTGATCTCATAAATAAGCCCATCATTCTCTAGATCAAGTATAATCATTACACAGCTAGTAAGTGACAAAGCCATGTACTTAAAACCAGATGCTTTATAACTGATAGAAAAATACACTGGAATGTGTGCTAACCCAAACAACAGCACAGCCAAAACAAATCTATATGCTAGCAGTACTAATATATTTGCTGGAATGGATCTTTAAAAAAATCCACACCCAACCTCGCACTCTAGACCTATTTTCAGCATCTACTCATTTCCTAGGGCTGCCATAACAAATTACTACAAACTGGGTGGCTTAGAAAAACAGGAAGTTATTGTCTCACAGTTCTGAAGGCCAGAAGTCAACATCAAGGTGCTGCCAGGGCAGTGCTACTTCTGAGGGCACTAGGGAGGATCTGTTCTTGTCCTCTTTTCTAAGTTCTGGTAGTTCCTGAGACTGTGATAGCATCACTCCAATCTCCACGTGGCATTCTTCCTGTTTTTTTTTTGTTTTCGTTTTGGTCTAAATTTTCCTTTTTTATAAGGACACCAGTCACATTGAATTAGGAGCCCATTCTTAACTGATTACATCTGCAGTGACCCTCTTTCCAAATAAGGTCACATTCTGGGGTATTAGGGACTAATATTTCAACATGTGAATTTGGGAACGGGGGACACAGTTTAATCCAAACACAGCTCTAGGCAATATACATAGAAAAGAAATAAATATATATGTTTTCATCCCCTAGAGTTTGTTCTAGAACTCTGGATGATTAAATGCAGAAAAAAAATGCTGCCTATTTCACAGCCACATAGCTTGAGACCGTACTAAGGCTCTAGAATAATGACTGGAGGGAAGAACAGGGACAGTGATGAAAAGTACAACATCCCCCCTCCCTTTCTTTAGAAATAGCTGCATTAATACAGTTTTTTGTCATACTGTACAAAATCTGCTGAGTATGCGGCTGATTAGAATACTAATCTCAAAAATCTCTACTCTCTCCTGATTTACACATTTCCCTTTGCTTAAAGATAATTCACATCTCCAGTAATTGCACTTAGGGAGAGAAAGCCTCCAATAGAGAATGTAGTTGTATTTGAATTTGCTCCAGGGAAATCAGTGCAGTAAGTGAATTAATTACCTGTGGAATTATCAAAGGAAGACTTATCAGAGCATCATAGACTTCAGAACTGGAAGAAATCTCAGAGATGATATGTTTAAATCACCTACTTTAAAGGCTAGAGAAATCAATCTCAGAGGAGCCCACCATATCACACAGTATTGAACATTGCTGGGTTAGAACTCGAGTCCAGACACTTGTCCCCAGTTTATTGTAAACTCCATCCTGATTTCCCTTTTATTATTCCTTCTATTAAGTCAATGCATACAAAGTTACAGATCAGTGAAAATCTATGTAAAATGCAGATTCACACCTATCTTATTGCCAGAATAATTTTCCTTTACAGCCTCATGCCACTTTGTCAGGGACAGAGAAAAATGTATTGAATAAGGAAACGAGCATTGGGAATGCAACACAGCTCCTCACTTTTTTTTTTTTTTTAATAATAGGAGAATTTACATGGTGGGAAATGAAAAGTAGGGATTGTATGTCAGCCTGGATTCTTGACTAGCACTTCTAGGTCCCTTAGAAGAAACTAGAAGAGACGGTTTAACTGTCTGTGATGGTTAATGGTCTGTAATAGGTCTTTCTAGACATTAACATCAAAGAGCAGATTTCAGGTCTCTTCATTTTCTTTGAATTGTTTGGAAGATTCTCCTCATCAACACTGTTGCATAGGCCTATAATTTGGAAGTTACCAAGGTAACAATATCTTGCAGAACAAATAATAAATGGGTTATGTCTTGGAAAAGAAAATTGATTTGTAAAATCAAAAGCAAAAAAAAGAGCTCATAGTGTGTTTCTTCCATATTACTATGAAAATTAGAGCAGCATACCTGCCATTTAGAGTAGTTAAAGATAAGAATTCAACTTTTCAGAATTTCTAACCATACTATTAGCATTTTTTAATGCTAATTTTAAAGCCGAATATTTCCTACTCAAAAAGAGCTGCAATTGGTAGAATGCCAATCTGAAGTGAGACTTATTTACTTTATACTGCAATACATGCTTTTGCCCACCACTTCAATCTTTAAGTACACATTTTAATAAAATGTCTCTCCATTTTGCAAATAATATGTACTTAGACTGATGGATATTATATAATATATAACAGTATCAGGATTGACATTTCCTTTCTTTCCAACTTTATAGATAAAATATCTGAATGCTACAATTTTATATTCAAAACTTAGCTACAGAAATGCCCCCAAAATAAAAGGATGGGATATGTCAAAGTGACACAGGAGCCAAACACAAAGAGCTCTTAATGGCCAAAATCTGGAACAATTTGAACGAAACATGTAACATAGTAAGGAGTTATAACCCAAACAATGAAATAAATATCCTTGAAACCAGTACATACTGATATAGACAAATGACTAACTAAATAAATAAATGGGGACAAATAAATGGGAGACAAACCCCCTTAAGGAATTTCAAATAATATATGTAGGTTCTGCATTCTCTAGGAAATGAAGCTTAGGACCTCCTCCCACCCACCATTTAACTGTGGACTATGTATAGAGAAGTAGAAACTTTAGAGTGGAGAAATTTGGCAAACACGATCTCAGATAAAATTTAAGATCATTAGCCATAAGTCCTGTTGATAACATATACCCTTGATAAGATGTGATGAGAATAGCCCTTTACCCCTGTGTTCTCCATCCCCTAAAGTCATACTTCCAATGTAACCATCAGAAGACTCATATGTCAAGCCCAAATTGAGGAACATTTTAAAAGTTACCTAATTAGCACTCAAAACTGTAAAGACCACAAAACACAAGGAACATCTGAGAAATTGCCACAGATAATGAACTCTTAAAGATATAGAGAGTAAATGCATGCTGCACCCTGGATGGGATCCTAAAACAGAAAAAGGACATTCAGGGGGAAAAAAAGCTAATTAAATTTAAATAAAGTGTGAAGTTTAGTTAATACAAGTGTACCAATGCTACGGCCTGGTTCATTAATCTTACAGATAAGAAATAAACTTGTTTTTCATAAACTATTACAAAATTGGTACCCCTCCCCCCCAAAATGTAGCAGTGTGAGTTCTTGGTTTTGGCAAATGTAACATAGTAATAGGTAAACAACAGAGAAAACTAGGTGCAGGGTATATGACAACACTCTGTGCTGTCTTTGCAACTCTTCTGAAAATACAAAACTATTATAAAGTGAATATCATTAAAAACACAACTATATGTGCATATGTACATTTTCATACTCAGAGCCACTGTAGATTATATATCTACTCTAGGGAATGAGCCATAAACGATAGACATTGATTGCTGTGACTCCATAAAGGACAATGTATCAGCCAACGCTATTTTTAAATTGGCCCTTCTTATAAAAGAACTCTTCGTTTTTTCATTCTTTTTATTAATTTTTTATTTTTTAATTTTAACATTTACTTGTACATAGTTGTGGAGTACAGTGTGTTGTTTCAGTATGTGCATATACTCACAATGACTCAGGTAAACAGCATAGTTTTATACCCATTAATCTACCACTTCTCATTTCTCCCACCCCCTCTCTTCTCCCAGTCCACCTCTGGTAACCATTATTCTACTCTCTACTTCTGTGAGAACCACTTTTTGAGGGGTGCAGGAGGGAAGTCCACATATGAGTGAGATCATGCAGTATTTGTCTTTCTCTACCTGGCTTATTTCACTTAACATAATGGTTTCCAGTTCCATCCTTGTGGCTGCAATAATAGAATTTCTCTCTCTTTTTTTAATAAGTGAATATTATTCCATTGTGTGTATATACCACAGTTTTTTATCCACTCAACTGTTGATGGACATTTAGGTTGATTCTATCTCTTTTGTGAATAGTTGCAATGAACATAGGAGTGCAATGTAGGAGAATACC